ATGGGGGAGATAATATGTAAACAACTATGTAAAACAAGATACAAACAGGATAAATATGTGATAATCAATAGCAAAAAGTCACCAGAATTAAGGGAGATTTGGAAAGGCTTCCTGTAAAAGGTGAGATTTTAGCTGGGACTTGAAGAATGCCAGGGAAGCCGACAGGCAGAGATGAGGAGAGAGAGAGAGCATTCCAGACATGGAAATGCCTGGTGTTGGGAGATAGACTGTCTCATTTCAGGAACAGCAAGGAGGTCAGAGCACATGATGAGGTACATAGTCTAAGAAGACTGCAAAGGTCGGGAGGGGGGCTTATGAGAGCTTTGAAAACCAGTCTGAGGTTTTCATATTTGATTCTAAAGGAGATAGGAAGAATCACTGGATATTACTGAGTGGGGGACGATATAATGTGGTCAGGTCTGTGCTTTAGCAAGATCATTTTGGCACCTAAATGGAAGATGGACTGGAGGTGGGGAGAGACTGGTGGCAGGTAGATTCACCAACAGGCTATTGCAATAGGACAGGCATGAGAAAATGAGGCCCTATAGCAGGATGGTGGCAGTATCAAAGGAGAGAAGGTGGTGTATTCAAGAGAAGTTACAAAGGTCAAAATCTGTAGGCTTTGGCAATAGATTTAAATATGGGGGTAGAGATAGTGAGGAATTAAAGATTTTACCTAGGTTGTGAACTTGAAGCTCTGGGAGGATGGTGGTTCCTTTGAAAATAATAGCAAAATGTGGAAGGGAGGAGAGTTTAAGAAGAAAGATGAGTTCAGTTTTATACATATTGAGTTTAAGATGTCTACAGGACATCCAGGTCAAGATGTCTAATAGGCAATTGGAGATGGAAGACTGGAAGTCAGCAGAGAGGTTAGGTCTAGAAAAAAACAGTTGAAACATTGCTTCTTGGAATAGACCCAAATGGATACGCTCCAAGAGACATGTTGATTCATATGAATGGATGAAAGGGGAAAGAAATTCAACAACATGGGTAGGGAGATCCTTGGTTCACTTAGTCTTGGAAGTATTCCAATTATGAAGACCAACATTACCCAATAATAATTTACCTCTCATGAATGGAGGCAAGATGCCTCATCACTAGTACCAAGCTGTGGTGGCCATTGAATTTTATAAGTTACTTCCTTAAAAAAATAGGAAAAATATCAGCTCACTTGTTTATGTCCCATCAAAAACTCTCACTTCCCAGTCCATCAATCTCCTCAATTCCCACAATATATACCTACCCCATACACAGGGCTGATCATATCCTTGCTCTTATCATTTTTCACAAATCTTCCGCTTCCATAATTCATAACTCTGAAATCCCTCTGACCAAAATTTCCTATCCTTCCATCCCTTCTTGGGCCTTGCTCTTCCTAAACCCATTTTCAACTTTATACTCTCCTCTAACCTCCAGTCTTTTGCCCAATTGTCTTACTACAATTAGTGCCTAAACCCCAACCCAAGATTACCACTCATTGTTTCCCCTACTCTTACTCAGGTACTTGAATCACCACTAGAGAGAGTCACACAATAACACAATTGACTTGAGTCCATTACAAATTTATATTCTAATCTCAACTGGGCCTTTTAGATTGCTTTCACACCAATCCTTCTGATTCTTCCCCAATTGACTTTCTATCACAATCTTCCATGACAGCAATTCTAAAACTTCTCTTCTCTACTCAAGCCACCTACATAAGCCTGCCTTCTTAGCAGAGAATTTTGTTCACACTTCAGTGAAAAAACTGAGTCATCCTTCATATGTTCCTTTTCTTTCCAATTCCATATTTCAAATCATCTCCCATTCCCTCCTCTTTGATGAATATATGTGCTCACTTCACCTCACCATTCCCCAGCCTTATTCCTGGCTCTTAAACTTCTAAATTATTCTGTCTCGCCCTGGAACTTTCCTTAGCACCTGGACTCTCCTCACCCTGGAATATCCAACATTCCTTTTGGCCTTTTCAACATAGAACATTCCATTGTAGCAACCCCACTCTCCACCCCCCATTTGGTGAGTTCCTTCTGTGGACTCTACTTTGTTGAGGGTCCCAGACTGTCTTTCATTCCCTCCTGGCTCTCTTCCTGGCTTCCAGACATCAAAACTATTCCCTCCTCCCTTCACTCCACTTTTCAGCTCTCTTTTATGTGTTTTCTTTCCCCATTTAGAATGTAACCCATTGAGATCAGGGACAGTCTGTCTTTTTGCTTGTATTTGTATTCTCCAAGCTTAGCACAATGCCTCGCACTCAAGATCTATTAAGTGCTTGTTTCCTTCCTACCATCTTTTTTATCTTTCTCTTATATTTCTCTTCTCTTTCATAACCAAACCCCTAGAAAATGCTGGATATTCTTTCTGGACACTCTCTTTTCTCTGGGTTTTCATGCCACTGAGCTGATGTTAGTTAGTCAGTTCAACTTTATTCTCTCCTCTAATTTCTGATCTTTTGCCCAAGGATCCTCTTCCTATCTGTCCAACCAATTCTTCTCAGTCTCTTTTGCAAAATCATCATTGATAGCACACCTATGCTAGGTAGAGGGGTCTTTCCTAGGTCGTCTTCTCTTCTAAATCTGTATTTGGTGATCTCATCTGCTCTCATGGATTCAGTGGTCTCCTCTACACAAACGACTCCTAAATCCACATATTCAGACCACATTTTTCTACCAAGCTTCTGCATCTCCAGTTGCCTGTTACTTCCATTTGCATGTGTCATGGGCATCTCAAAGTCAACATGTCTAATACTGAGCTCATTACCTTTCCCTCTAAACTCACTTCTCTTCTAACTTTCCTGTTTCTGTTGAGAATACAGCTAGATCCTGATTTATGCAAATAATGAATCCAGAGAAGTGGTCACATTATTCAAATTCACATTGCCTATTTCCATTATTCTGGAATCAATTACCATATTGTACATAATTATAACTTTGAACAGTATGAATTCAAATACGCACAACCACTTCACATGATTCATTATTTGTACTAGTCAGGACATAGATGTATTACCACTCTTTTAGTCACCAATATTCACAGTCCAGGAGTTATACTCAACTCTTCATTCTCATTCAACCCTCCGTATCCAATCAGTTGCCAAGTTTTGTCAGTTCTACCTCTTATGAGTCTCTTGTATGTGTCCCCATGTCTCCACTCACATGGGTACCACCCTGGTGTAGGCCCTCATCATTTTTTACCTGGACTATTGAAATAGCCTCTTAGTCTCCTTACTTCCAGTCTCTTCATTCTCTAACCTGTCTTCCACCTAGCTGCCAAATTATTATTCTTAAAGTATAGATCTAGCCATGTTACTTTGCATTCAAGAAGATTCAATGGTCCTATAGTGCCTTTTAGATAAAATATAAACTCCTCTATTTGGCATATGAAAACCTTCGCAATTCAGCCCAAGCCCACCTATCCAGGCTGATTATACATACTTCATGTTCCAGTCAAACAGCTATTTGCTGTTTCTCCTAACCAATTCTGTTACTGTTCAGTCATATCTAACTCTTATTGACCCCATTTAAGGTTTGCTTGGCAAAGACACTGGAGCTTTTTGCCATTTCCTTCTCCAGCTCATTTGACAGATGAGGAAACTGAGGCAAACAAGGTTAAATGATTTGTCCACAGCCACACAGTTAATAAGTGTCTGAGGTCAGATTTGAATTCAGGAAGATGAGTCTTCCTGACTTCAGGCTTGGCATTCCATCTACTGTGCCACCTAAATACATTGTGGTAGATTAAAGTAATGGAATCTTACTTTGCTCTAAGAAATAATGATTACCAAAAAATATGGAGAGACTTACATGAACTGATACAAAGCAAAGTAAGCAGAACCTGGAAAGTGATATGCACAGTAATGACAATGTAAATGGAAACAATACTTGAAACTATATGGTGAAATTATATTGACCAAGCTTGACCCCAAAGAAATAAAATGAGAAGGCACTCCCTTCACACATAGAACATCCCACCTTCCTGCCTCCCTTGCTTCTTTGTAGAAGTGGGGAACCATGGATGGGAAACACTACATATAACATAAAATTTCTTTGATATATTTTTTCTTTCTTTCTCTTTTATTTTATTTATATCACATTTACTTAGGACTTTTTAAATTTTATTTATTATAAAGCATGGCTCTGTAGGAGGAGACAAGAAAAGGAATATAATGGGCAATGTTAGTCACATAAAAACAAAAGTTATCAAAAATTTACTTTAAAAATTACACTTAAATTAGAAGCATACTATTTTAAAATAGAAACACACAGTGCTTTTCTCCCGTAACACATATTCATAGCAACAAATGCTTCCAGAAAACCCCCATTATCAGCAATGGTTAATTACTGGATAGATCTCTAGACTTGGAGTCAGGAAGACCTGAGTTCACATACCACCTCAAACACTTACCAACTGTGTGACCCTGGGAAGATTATTTAATGTCGGTAAGCCTCAGATTTTTCACATGTACAATGAGAATAATAATGTTCCTAACTTCACAGGGTTGTTGTGAGGATCCAGGGAGGTAGCAAAGTGGTTTGTAAATGTTATAAATAAAATGTTATATAAATGCTACTTTTAAATTATTATTGTTATTGATTTTCTTAACATGTGATTATTCATGACTCTTAGACTTGGGCCTTGGCTTCTCCATCTTAATGACTTACTTATATTATACCACTCGAAGTTGCATAATATTCTTTTTCCGTTTTGGCCAAGTTTTTTTTTTTGTCCTCCCCCTACTCCTCACAAGTTTCCCTAACCTGCTATTCTTTTCCCCTACTCCCCTTCATTTCCCCTGAAATGAACCAGACTGCCTCCATGTGCTTAACTAAGTTGTTATTCAGGTGCCTTGTCCAGAAACCATGCAAACATCTACATTGGACTGGTCTTGCCTGTGGGTATTTGCAGCAAGTGCCACGATGGCATTCAGACTACTCCAAAGATCTGAAATTTCAAGGGATTCTGTTGTAAAAGGGATAGTGTCTTACCCTATTATCCTCTTTCAGGAGTGGATCTGCATTGGCTCAGCTTTATGGAACTTCTGCTACCTTGGAGCACCATCATTTTAATCATGCCGTGATGATTCTGCAAAGTGAGGTACAGAGCTAATTTCTCCAGTCGCCTTCTGAACCAGAAACCAGCAGAAGCATTTACTTCCTATTTCTTTCAATACCATGAGTAGCCTAAGTAGAATAGGAAGATTCATTTTTTTTCCCCTAGTGTTGGCCCTTTTCTATTCCTTGGTGGTCCTTGTTATGCTAGTCTGAAATGACATGCCAGCTCTTCATTGGCCCTATCTACCTGATTTTTGCCTGATTGTTAAGATAAATTAATCAAAAAATAAGCATTTATTAACTATCTTAGTATGTGTCAAGCACTGTTCAGCAATGAAAATACAAAGATGAAATGCAAGGATCATCTGCTTTAAATAATTTCTAGGCATTTGATATGTGGATTTTCAAGTCATCACGGTAGAATACTAACATTTACATAGTTTGCTTTTTTGGAATAAAACTTGTACCAATAACTTGACCCAAGTCTAAGTTGTTTATTTTACTCAAAGAACTATGCATTTTCCCTTTAGTCTTTACAAAATACTGTAAAGGTTACCCTTTACAAATGACCAGTGAGTGTTGATGTTTAAAATCTTATCATTGCCCTCTGGGAGGATTTCAAAATCACTGATAACAGTTGTTGGCAACAATAACTAAAATAAATACTTTTCTAGCTAGATACCTGCCTATCAACTTCCCTGGACTCTCACACTAAGTAGAAAGACAGTCAAGTGTAAATGGTACTAGCAGAATCCTAGAGATAAAACACTTTCCTTGATTCTGTTGGCCCTGAAAGAATGTCATTGCCCATAGATTACGATCTGAGTACATTTGTTTCCTCCAGTAAACGGATAAGGAACTCAGCAAAGAAGCAGCAAAGCAAACAGATCATCCTTTGTAGCAGGCCTCAAGAGGGCTGGCAAGTTATTTTGTGAAATGCAAACCGATTTTAAAAGGTTACAGAGAGGAAAACAGCATGAGAAAGATATGTTTTTTCAGTAGAATGGAGGAAGCCCTTGGAGACAGACTAAGAAACTGTAATTGCCAGCAGGACTGACTTGTCAGCAAGGAACCCAGCTGAAAGAAGAATCTGAAGGAAGATAATTTTCCCTATTTATCCTTCAGATAGTAACACAGGAGCTTAGAGTGGGGAGGTCCCTTTCTACACTTTCAGCTCCCGACAAAGAAAACCACCAACTACCCACCAGACTGTGACCGAGGCTGCTGAGTTAATACTGCCAGGAAGGGATCTGTTTAATTTTCTGCAAGCATGCAGACTTTTTGAGACCAAGAAGGGATCATCTGTTCCCCATTATTTGTCAGTTCTCTAGCTGTGCCATTAATTATTATTATTATCATCATTAAGACCTTACTTTGCTGGAATATTCTCATTAAATATGGTGTGTTTTTCCTCCAGTGTATCTTAAAAAAAAAAAGTACATCTTTTGCAAGTTTGTGAAAGCCTTTGACCCCAAGAAGGGTAGTTGGTACTCCCATCTGTAGCTAAGACCCCCAAATTCAGAGTAGAAATGGGAGAATTGATTGGTGGTTGTATATTCTCCCTTCTGAATGAAATACAGATGCTTGGACCCAAGTGACAGGAGCCGGCAGAGATAAGCACAAATACCCTGGAACCTTTTGGTTTGAGAATTTTCCCTAAAGGCAGGGAGTGATTTATTTTTGTTTTTATAGTCTCAGTGCCTAGCACAGTGCATTACATATAGTAAGCATTGAAATGTTTGTAAAATTTCAGCTAAGGATGGTTGGTATGGGATTTTTACATTGTGTACACTGGGTTAGACACAGGAATAGATTATGATAGACAGGACAGGACAGAGGAGAGAAAGGTCAGAGTCAGTATCTGAAGGGTCAAGTCATTTGGTGTATTCCTTTTTTTTTCTTTTGGTGCAGACCTGTGATTTCCTCTGGGTGGAGAACCTTCATGTGCAAACTGCAGCTCCTTTATGATTTGTACTCTTAGAGACTGGCCCAGGCCATTGGAGGGACTTGCTCATGACCACATAGCCTAGATGTGTAAGAGGGAGGCCTCAACACCAGGTCTTCCTGATTCCAAGGCCACTCCCCTATTTGCTATTCATGCTGCCTCTCATTTGTTCATAGAACATAGAATGTTCAGAATGTTAGAACTACAAAGAACCTTAGAGATGATCTAGTCTAATCCCTTCATTTTGCAAACAAGTAAGGTTCAAAGGGGTGGCAGCTAGTTGGTGCAGTGGATAGAGTGCTGGGCTGGGGATAAGGAAGACCTGAATTCAAATGTGGCCTCAGACTAGTAGTGTGACCCTGGGCAAGTCACTTCACCCTGTTTACCTCAGTTTCCTCATCTGTTAGATAAGCTGGAGAAGGAAATGGCAAACCACTCCAGTACCTTTGCTAAGAAAACCCCATGGACAGTATGGTGCATAGGGTCATGAAAAGTCAGACACAACTGAACAACAACAAAGGCCCAAAGGAGTGGGGTGACTTACTCCCAGGTGGCACACAGCAGGCTCGGGGTAAAGTTGGAACTGGACCTGGGGTCTGACAGCAGACTTTTTCCACTGTTCCACTCTTCTCTGATGTTTTCTTTCTCATCTCTCTCCCTCCAGCAAATGAACGCTTTGTGATGAAAAAGTCCTTTCCATATATCATTTTATTTTAATCTGCAAAACTACCTTTTGATGAAGAGATGACAAATATTTTTATCCCCACTCTTCAGAGGAAATTATAGCTCAGAGAATTTAAGTGAAGAGATAACATGCTTAGTAAGTGTGTGTAACTAAGACTCAAAATCAGTCCTTTTTCCACTCTGCCACACCTTCTTCTCAGTGCTGGTAAATGCACTAGGCTTGTGTTGGAAATCCCAGAGCTGTCTACACAAATTCACGTATTCATTCCACAAACAGACACCCATTATGGACAATTTACTGGGCTGGGCCCTAAGGAACTTACAAGATAGTATAATTAACAATTATAATAACTGTGGACATGATCAGAGAATAGTGTTCACTCAAGGTAAGGAAATGGTCTTCAGGGCCCTGAGATAATGATAATGATAACAACAACACTTATACAGCTCTTTAAGACTGGCAAAGACAAGTATCCTCTCATTGTATCCTTATGATAACCCTGTGAGGTAGGTACTTTTATTATCCACATTTTACAGTTGAGGAAACTGAGGCAAACAGGGTTAAATGACTTGCCCAGGGCCACGCAGCTAGTAAGTATCTGAGGCAGGATTTGAACTCAGATCTTCCTGATTCCCAGGCTAATGCTCTATCCACTGTACCACCCAGCTGAGTCTCTGATCTTCCTTGCATTTGGGGATCACAGATCCTAGAGTTGGAAGGAGTCTTAGAAGACACGTAATCTAATCTATACATGGATATGAATTTTCTCTGTGACGTACTCAGTAAGGGTCATCCAGCTTTTGCTGGATGCTTCCCAAGGTAATAATAATAATGATTACAGCTAACATTTATATAGCATTTGCTGTATGCCATGCACCGTGCTAAGTGTTTTATAATTGCGATCTCACTTGATCCTCACAAGACCCATTGAGGTAAGTGCTACTATTATCCCCATTTTATAGATGTGGAAACTGAGACAAACAGAGGTCAAGTTGCATGCCCAGGATTCCATAGCTAAGAAGTGTCTAAGGCTGGGAGCCCATTCCGCTTTTGAGTAGCTCTAATTGTTAGGATTTTTCCCTGTGTATAAGCCAGTCTGAATCTGTTCCTCAGCAGCCTCTTAGCCATAGTTCCTCAGCCATTGTTCTACTATCTGAGGACAAGCAGAATATTGTCAAACCTTCTTATACATGACAGCCTTTCAGGTTCCTGGAGATAGTTATCATGTCTTCTTAAGGCTTTTCTTTTCCATCCTAAACATACCTAACTCCTTCAACCAATTCTCATGATAGCAAGTCCCATTTCTTGTCTATGACAATCATCACACATGAGGACAAGGAACTTATGCAACAAAACCCCATTAATGAAATCCTTTCTAAGTTGAAAGTGTATATTCAGACAATCTTAGTTGAAATTAACCTTTAAAGTATTTATGAAGAAAAGATTTGCTTAGCAAATAGTCTAAACAAGGAAAAACCCTATGTCTATTTAAAACAACAAAATATCTTTAAGTTTTTTAATGTTTTTAAGATTTGCATATAAAGAAAATCAGTAAATGTTCTGTAATTTTTAGTAAGAAAGTTGCCTGGGACATTGAGAGATTGATGGTCTCCGAGCCAGAATGTGTCAAAGGCAGGACCCAAATCCATCTGCCTAAATCCAAGAATGACTCTCTATCCACTATCATATGCTGCCTCTCATTTAAAGAATATATTCATTTCAAATCATCCTTTTCTGTATATTAAAGTCAGTCTTGCCAATACTCTGCTAGACAATACTTTGCTAATCATCATAGGATGATAGTTTCAAAACTGGACAGGAGCCTAGAGACCATTAGTCCAATGCCCTCATTTTATAGATGATGAAACTGAGTACCAGATACCTAAGTGACCTGTCCAAGTAAGTAACAGGAAGTAGCAGCACAGTCTGGATTAGTCTTTTGACTCCAAATCTTGAAATTATTCTTCTATTCTGTAGCTTTGCCTTCAAAGGCACGACAATGCATTTCTTTAAAATGAAATGCTCCTTTTTTTTCACAGAACATTCCCTTTCTTTGAGCCTAATTAGTCAAGATAAGTCTGTTTTTAGTTGTATCTTAGCACCAGCAGTCATTTTCCTGACACTGCAGAGGGTATGGGTGCTGTAGTTAGAGATGGGCAGTTGATTCCCCATACCCCAGGACTCAGCCCCCTGAGTCTGCTCTATGCTGTGAGGGATTCTCACCGACTTTGTGATACCAGCATTCATTTAGCTATTTGTCTTCATTCTACTGGCTGAATTAAAGATCTGGAAGAGTTCATTTGAAAATTATTATTAATATTGGACTGGGTCCCAGTTGGAGCCAATATGAATAAACTATTCTCTGAGAATAAAGTGTTCATCCATAGGAGGTAAATTAACTCAGAGTAGCAGATTCTCATTTAGAGTCTTGGAAGATGTAATTTTCTAATTGATATTAAAGAATTAGTGGGACAGGAGTTAACTCAAGAGTTTTTTCAGATTTTTCCCCTAACTCTCCCCCAAATCAAGCTTAATACTATTAGTATCATGCTAACCATATCTATGTAGATCTGCCTCTCTATAAACAAATATATGAAGATCCAGATGTACAAAATAGAAAAATTAGGGTGTGATTATTCACTTTGAAAAAAGAATTATTCACTTCACAAAAAGCAGTAACTATAGAATAGAATAATAAGCCACTTAGTTCATTTAAAATTTTATTTTTGATTTAAAAAAATAAACTCTTCAGTAATAACACTATTGCATAAGTCAATAGAGAGAAGAGAGCTGAACTGAAAATATTTTCTAAGTAAAATCTATCAGGCATTTCTCTTAGACACATTAACAACTTAACTGAATTTCCCCCAGTTGAAAACATCTGTTTCAAAAGCAAATATTTCCAAAATGACAACTTAAAATGTTTACTGTGAAACCAATATTTATTTTGGGATTAAGTTTGGGTAGGATGCCAAAGTATTTTATAAACTTTCCATATGATAATCCTAATGGGAAAAGGTCATTGAATGGGTCAAATGTGGATGTGCATAGATATATGTTTATAAATGTGAATATACAATGATTCAGACATTTCCAATATCTTTTCTTTGTAACTATAGTAAAACCTTTTAAAAGATGTTTGTTCTTCCCTGCAATGTTACATTTGCCTGCATATTTGTCTATTTATATAACATCTCCATTCAAAAGCCCTAAGTTATTGTCATATAACTTGGACTTCACTTGGCTATGTTTTTATGGTTTCTTTTGCCATGTTTCCAAACCAACTTTTGTTTCAGGAAAAATACAGAAGAAATAACTGTGGGTTGAATATTCTCTATGACCTTTCATTTTCTCATTCCAGGGTCACAACATCTTTGCCAATTTATCTTCCAAGGAATACAGTGACCTCATGCAGCTTTTGAAGCAGTCCATACTGGCAACAGACATAACTCTGTATTTTGAGTAGGTATTGACATTTAATTTATTCAGCAAAAACATATACATGGATGTGTATATGTACACATACATACATATGTATTTATATACACACACAAACAAAAGAGAGAAAGAGATTAAAATCACCATCTTTGAATTAATTTCCATTTCCATGATGAAGGCCTTTAGATTTTCTTTGCGGAAATCCAAAGAAAGGTAAAAGACAGTCCCACCCCTTAAAGAGCTTACAGTCTCTCTCTCTCTCTCTCTCTCTCTCTCTCTCTCTCTCTCTCTCTCTCTCTCTCTCTCTCTCTCTCTTCTCTTCTCTTCTCTCACAATATATATATATGTATATAAGAATATATACATATAGAGGGAAAGCACTAAAATTAGGAAGGATTGGGAGAAGCTTCCTGCAAAATGTGGGGTTTTGGTTGGAACTTGATGATGGATATGAGGAGGAGAACATTCCATTTATGGGGAGCAGCCAGGGAAAATGCTACCAAGATATGGAGTGTCTTGTTTGGAGAACAACAAGGAGGACATTGTCACTAGACTGACAAGTAAGTGGTGGGGTATGTGGTGTAAAAAGACCAGAAAGAAATAGAAGGGGAGGAAGAACTAGGTTTTAAAGGGCTTTGCACACCAGAGGATTTTGTGTTGTGATGGTGGGTGATAGGAAGCCGTTGGAGTTTGTAGAGTAGGGGTGACTTGGTTGGACCTGTACTTTAAAAAAAATCACTTTAACAACTGAATGGAAGATAGACTGGAACAGGGAGAGGTTTGAGGCAGGAAGACCCACTAGCAGGCTATTGCAATAGTCCAGGCATGAGGTGATGAGGGTCTGCAATGTCAGAGGAGAGAAGGTGGTTAACTTGAGAGATGTTGCAAAAGTAAAATCAATAGGTCGTATGGCAAATTGGATATGGGGGGTGAGAGACAGTAAGGAGTCTAGGATGACACCTAGGTTGTGAGTCTGGGGTACTAGGAGGTTGGTTACAGGAGTTTAAGGAAAGATAATGCGTTCGGTTTCAGACAGGTCAATTTTCAGTTGTCTCTGTTAAACATCCAGATGGAGATGTCTGAAAGGCGTGTGAAAGGAGATACAAGATTGAGAGTCATCGGAGAGGTTAGGGACCAACAGGTAGAGTTTGAGAATCAGCATAGAGATGGTGGTTAAATCCATGAGAGCTGATGAGATCAAGTGATCTCCACCAAATAGCTCCCTAGGTGGTTTTGGTCCAGTGGAGAAAGTGCCAGGTTTGGATTCAGAGAATTAGGGTTTGAATCTTGGCCCTGCCAATTATTACTGTTATGGCTGTAATCAAGTCATTTGACTTCTCTGGACCTCAATTTTCTTATGTGTAAAATAATGGAGTAGAAGTAGATGTTTTCTAAGACTATTTCCAGCTCTAAATCCTATGAGTTTATTAATGAGATTTTGATAAAAAGATTTCCTTCTCCATGACTATCTTAAGTCATCATTTTTCTCAGATCTACTAAGATATTTATGAAGCAACACCAAAAGCATTTATTAATGTGACAATGAATAGAATTCCAAACAGAATTCTTTACTACTGCTTTTTTGTGTATCTCAGAAAAAAGCATGAAGTGCTGCTCTTGATCCCATCCTTTCTTTCTTTCTTTTTTTTTTTTTTGGCTGGGCAATGGGGTTAAGTGACTTGCCCAGGGTCACACAGCTAGTAAGTGTTATGTGTCTGAGGCCGCATTTGAACTCAGGTCCTCCTGAATCCAGGGCTGGTGCTCCATCCTGTGTGCCACCTAGCTGCCCCAATCCCATCCTTTCTTGAGGCAGCTTAGTGGTGTGATGGCTAAAATGCTGGGCCTGGAACCAAAAAGACCTGGTTTCAAATCCCACCTCTGATACTACTAGCTGTGTGACCCTGGGCAAGTCACTTAATTTTTGCCCAGGTTTCCTTATCTGTAAAATGGGATAATTAATAATACCACTTACCTCTCCGGGTTGTTGTGAGGATCAAATAAGATACTGTTTATGAAGTGTTTCATAATTTAAATGCTAGCTATTATTATTACCTCCCATCTTGTCTAGGACCTTATTCTCTCATTTATCCTCTGCCCCCTCTAAATACTGTCCTATTTCTTTCCTTCCTTTCAGACTTTCCTATATTTAATCCTGGCTCTGATGCTAACTAGCTTTGTGACTTTGGGCCAATCACTTAATTTTCCTGTGTCTATTTTCTCATCTGTAAAATGGTGAAAATCAAATCTGTTCCATCTTCATCATAGGAACATCATAAAGATTAAGTGAAACACACACACACACACACACACACACACACACACATGCATGCACACACATATCTATTTGGTCCAGACTTGAATTTTCCTTGATGTAGGGAATCCCCAGTGTGAAAACTTTCCCCACCAATATAGATTGGCAGTTCTTCCATAACTTACTTTTAGAGGATGGCATGGGGCACTGAGGAATGTGTTATTCAAGTGACTTATTCAAAGTCTCACAGCTAAGTATTTGTCACAGGCAGGACCTGAACTCAAATCTCGCTATGCCACATTGCCTCTCATCTAAATAAAAATGATTTGAAAAATACAAAGCACTAGACAAATGTAAGGCATTACTGTCAATGGTTTGGAAAATCAGATTGAGAAATGCCTCATAAAAAATGATAGCTCTTTGAAGCCTAGAATTTGGAACTTTATCATGTTAAAATTTAGTGAATCCAACTTTCACCTGTCCTTCAAAATTTGCTCTTGTCATGCATTATATTCAAGTTATTAACATTTACATTTTTTTAAAAAAAGAGATTGTAAATGATATGGTGCTGTGTGTCCCAAGGAGTTTCTGATTCTAATGTCACAATGGGGGAGATATATTAGCTCCCAGGAAAAGGGATTGTTGCTTCCATTTACAGTATGGGTAAGGTTGTTTCTATCTATGTGATAACATAGCTGCCTGAAGAATGGGCAAGAACAAACTTTCTGCAACAGCTTTTTCCTGGTCTGACTGAATTGGCCATCGGTCTGGGCACTGTGCTTTACAACCTTGTGCCGTCCACACAGGAGCACACAGGTAAATGCTTGCCATCCGGCTCTGCCGGGGATGATGGCAGGATAAGGGGGATGTATACATGACACGCTTCTAAGTTTAATCTAAATTATTAACATTTTCCCTATCATTGTCTGAAGTCTAGACTGTCAACAAAATAATAAATCGGGTGCTGATTTGTAGCATTTCACTATTCCTGAACTGAAAATTTAACAATCAGCTTCTATGAGCTGATGGGAAGGAGCTGATTCCAGCACATTCCTGCTTCCACACCATTTTCAACAAAGTCTTTTTGTCTGAATTCCATCTGTTTCATCATATGACCTCTTTCTTATCAGCAACAGCTGAGAAATCAGATGGCATCTCTGTCTTAGGCATGTGGTTTTTTGTTATCAGAAGTGATAGGCTAAATCCATAACACAATTATTGCCTTTCCAAATCAGATTAGCCCTATCAGTCTGCCTGACTGTCCCTTTCATTACAGTTACTGGAATTATTAGCAGCCAGCTTATTTCTTTCTATTCTCAGGAACTGAGGATCAACCTATAAACTTTCAAGAACCTACACACAAGAAAAAGGAGCTATGGCAGATCTTTGAGTGTCCCATAAAAACAAGAGCTCCTCTTTTCTCTCTAGAGTATCTATGAAGCTGAAATAGGAAGACAATAGTGTTGGTGATTCACTACCTTAGGAATAACTAATAGTACTGGAGGCAAAGCCTGCCTAACATTTATCTACCTTTAGGAGATGCAGAAATAAAGCACAAAATATAAATACAAATTAGCAGATTTTCATAATCACAGTGTGAAACGGGTAAGGTGGTTTTTTTTTACACTTTATAAAGACCGAAGGCCTCCAGGTAACGTTTTTAAATGATCAGACTTTGTGATATGTAGCTGATAACCTAACAGCAGTTTCTTTATGTGGGTAATTTCAGTGTCTGTTTCCTAAGAGCTGTTTGTTTGGGGGGCACCGATTATTAAAAGTGTAACGTCTGCCAAGAAAGCAAAATGCTAAAGCCTAATAAAAACATGTCTGATTAGAGAGGAAATTTTCCAGTGAGATGCTTTTCACTAGCGGTGATGTTTCCCACTGTCCTTGAAACCCAGAGTAAAATGTTTTCAGTGCTCTGTTTGAGAAGTTAATGATATCGTTCCTCATGATGTAGTAGTCTGGATCTAAGGGATATTGTATCATTTTGTGGATTTTCTGATGCGTGTTTTTGCAGCCCCTCATAAAAACTTCTACAATTGCCAAGGGTTCCTTGTTGACTTTTACCAATGATACTATCTGGGAGACGAAAGAAGTGAACAGCTACGTGGTCAAATTACTATGTGACCTTGGGCAAATCCCTTTTCATCGCTACACCTCCATCTCCCTGTCTGCAAACTAAGGGGACTAAACCAGATGATTTCTAAGGCCCTTCCAGCTCTAACTTTCATTCTGTGATTCCATGGAGTTGTTTAAATCATTTTTCTAAATGCCATAAATGCCATCTGGGTGCTAGCCCCAGCCGGACCATCACAAGAGAGATGATCCAAGATGGTTTATATCAAGAAGTGGTTTTCCAAGTGGCCTTGACTTGGAGGGTGTAATCCTGGCAAAGCCATTTTCCTCTCATTGCTCTTCCTATCTGGCCTTCTTTGAATCTCCCATTTGGTTGACAATAGACATGTACTATGAGTTTGGTTCTTTGCACTCACCCCCTTGTCATTCATCCTTAGCTCTTGAAGAGGACCAATGACATCAGGAGGATGATGTCTTAACCTTCATGTGAATGGGATTTAAGTGAGGCAGAGCTGTGCAAAGTCATCAACCTCCCTCCTCAGAGTCATCAGAGTCCAGTGGGAAGACATAGGTCAATACAACTGGCGATGGAGTCAGATGCAGTGGGAGACCGTGGCCTTTTTAAGCTAAGGTTTTTCCCAGGTCCCAGTTTGTCTGAGGCAATACCCATTCAATAATCAAAGGCTCAGTAAGA